AAAAAAAAAAAAAAAAAAAATTAAGAGTCAAAATTAATTAAGTCAAAATTGATTAATTAATCAATGAAGAGTCAAAAATTTTACTTTTAAAAGAATGAAGTGATTAAAAATCCTAAACTTAGAAAATCTTCCTCTAGCAACAGGACATAACAAACACTCTTTTAATAATGCTAAAAGGGACTATACTTGTGTGAAATGGTTTAGGCCAACATCACACGCCTCAGCCCTTCTTTTCCATTGTTCCTTCAGTGTCCCCAAAGTATTTTCTTGCACTAAACATTACCTGAATGCTAAATATTACATCTTCTCCATAGCTTACTGTTGCTCTGAATCTAACTAGAAATTCCAAGGCAGAAGGATGCACAAGGCCTCTCTCCCCACTCACTCTCATTCTACGGGAGTTCCAGGGTTATTTTAAAAGGCAGGATTGGAAGAATGAAGTCCTAATAGGCTTAGGGAAAATATGCTCCTTCTTGGATATTTCTGTAGCCACTTTTAAATGACACAGACTGATCATCTCAGAAGCTGTGTAGGAAGAAAGGATCTCCATCAAATTTCTGACCAAATCCCTCCTTATGGCTGTGAGAGTTTAATTTTCATTTAAACAACAATAAATATAGGCATAAGGGTTTGAGATGAATTATGTAAGCCCTTTAGCTATAACCATTACATTCTGCCACCAAATGAGCTGCTGTTCTCACTTTGTTTTACGGGCTCTGTGTAGCCCATGTTATTATATCTGCCAAATAAAACCCAGCAAACCATGCAAATGAAAATATAATCTTTTATGTCCCATAGTCACCGGATGCACCCACCCATATATACAATTTTATTGATTCCTCTGCACCAGATTTACTGCTATTAGGACCCCACTGTCTTAATAGGATCTACACAGAGAGAAAACATCTCTTTCTTGGAGGCATCTTCATTTATATCCACCAACGGTGGAAGTCTTTAGCTGAAGCTACACTTGAAAAGTCAGGAATAACTCCTTTCATGATATTTTTTCGCTTGTCTGTGTGGCTCATTTGAGAACATGGACTTTTTTTCCCTTAAGAATAAAGTCCTGAATGACTGTATATTTTCAAAGCGTGGCACCAGATTTGGCTCTAATTTGGTTAGAAACAATGGAGTTTTTTCTTTGACTTTCAGAGTGGGCCAAATATCTGAAGAACAGAGATTTGGTGACTTGATGACTAACTCTGCAACTCACCGTTCCTCCTGTGGGGCCTTGGACAAGGCACTTAACCATTCCATGTCAACACTCTCCTCCAAGTCATGAAAATACCAATAGATTTAATGCCTGTAAGACATGTTTTGAGGAATAACATCTCCAAAATGCTTTAAGGAAAATACTCTTGACATACACTAGAGAATGGCTATGATCTTACCAGGAATAGAGTCTCTGCCAAGTCCATCTGGGATATTTCTATGTTGGGTCAGAGCACCTCCAAGAAAGCAAATGGACACTTGTCCACATAATAAGCTCAACTCACTTTGTTCCCAGTTTGAAGGGAGCAGTTGAACACGTGGAGCACTTTAATTCCTCCAGCCTCTGGAAAAATCCAAAAGTATAAGTTATTTCTTTCCATACCTTCCTTCTTCATTTCCTTTCTTTTTCTTCACTTCCACCCTCTCCCTCCCTTTCTTAGTATTCCTATATATTTTTTTTTGCAGTTTTGGCCAGGGCCGGGTTTGAACCCGCCACCTCCAGCATATGGGGCCAGCACCCTACTCCTTTGAGCCACAGGTGCTGCCCAAGTATTCCTATTTTTTGAATGTTTGTTATGTGCCAAGCATCATTCTAGATGTTAATGATATAACTATCATTATCATAGAAAAAAATCTCTATCCTCACGGAGCTTATATCCCACCAAGGAAGACAGGAAACCCCAAATAGAGTCAGTATCTTTGGTAATGGGAATTTTCCTGGTTCACTTCATCACAGTAGGTTTTCTTTCCAATGCTAATTCATTCATTTAGTTATGAGCCAGGCTAGATATTTTATACAGAGGCTGATGTGCCTAGAACCAGGTCTTATGTCTGTTCCAGGTTTGGTGACTACTGAATGAATGACTCTATTACTGAAATGTAATGGGTTAGGCTAACAAATAATTCACATACCTCATTGAAATGTCCATATAGTCCCACCACTCCCCTATAAAGTCAATCTAAAACTACTTATTGAGTGTGCTACTGAAATTCTGTTTCTATATTAAGGAACATCTAGTTTATATCAAGCAGGTCTTACCAGAAAAACCAGCCAAACTAGTGACCTACGTGCCCATGTGCACACACGCAGACACAGAGTTGCCCTTATCGTGATAACGTCATATCTGGAAGAATTAAACACTGAGTATATTTTAGTCCTCTTTACTTTTGGAGTATTTCATGAAGCATATTTTATGGACGATTAGCAAGACATCATTTGACAAAAAATAGTGGCATGGATCAGCAGAGCCCAGGAAGGGGTACTAACATCTCTGCTGTGTTAGTCATCAGCCACTAGCACAGACCACTGCTCCTTGGAATCTTTCCTTGTCCTTACCTCTCTTTGAGTATTCTTCTTCTATACTATGACCATCTTCTCAGGGTACTCTAAAGCCCTTCCCCTCCCTTGTAAAACTATTGTCCCTTAAATCGGTCAGCTCTGTCATTTGTCTCTTTCTAAAATGCTCTATGGTGCAGGTGTCTTTGTTATTCCTCTTATTGCTGTTCTGTCTCGGGAGCCTGTGTTCCTACATCTGTCCTAGTGCTAAGGCTGGCTTGGCACTGGAGTTTGACCTAACCTTTCTTTTTGACGTGACCTTGCTGAATAGCCTCAGTTTTATAAAATGATTTCAGAGCAATGGGTTCTTAACTTAAACGTGTGCCAAAATGTTAATGTACAGAGACAGGGGAACAAAGAAAGCTTCAAGACCCCTGGGAGGAATTTGAAATGTGTTTTCTTTAAGTTCATGTTCAAAAACCACTTTTCCTATTGTCTCCAATAAAGCTATAAAGCTTCAATTTAAAATGCTTATTTTTACTGAGTTTTAATTTAGATACACATTTGCATTGTAAAATGGGTACTTTAAAAATAATCATTTTAGTCTTAAGCATAAATGCTAGTTCTTTGTAAGGGAAGTAACTTCCTGAGTTGCATGTTATCGCTAAGGGCGAAGTAAATTTCTGGAGTGAGATTTAACCTTCTGTCTGCTCTTTTTACTGGGAATAGTTTGAATTTGGTACGTATCAAGACTTTTGTGTTAAATTTATGGAATTTCTTTATAACAGAAAACTTCTATTAATCCAATTTTATATTATTACAGCAGTTGGGACTGGCAAACATTTATTAGGCACCAACAATATACTAGCCACTGAATGAACGATAAAATGTATCTTTATCCAGTGGGTTCATAATGACATTTATATCTAATGAGGCTATAAATAAAATGGGAAATGATATTATTTCACGTGTCGTTGGCTCTTAGCACATGGTGGAAATTTCACAAGAACCATGATAAGGCAGTTCTCTCTTTCTCCAATGTATTATTAAATTCTCAGTAAATAAGTTTGATATCTGTCATTTTCCTTTCTGCTGGTTTAAAATCTAAGAAGGTACTGCATTCAAGAGTGGAGCAAGCCTGAAAGAAAGGGAAAACCTCTCCCCGTATCAGAATGCAAGCAGACAATGTTTCTATCTTTTAGTCAGAACATCTGACTCATGGGTACGCAGCATCAGTACCTACTGGTAATCTGTCTTATTCTCTGTCCTTCACTTTTTCATTTGCACCCCAAATTTCTACAAGTTCCAATTCAACTTAGAATATTAGCATTTAAATATTTAGAAGTTTTATTCTCTCGTTTTGAGCAGAACAAACTACTGTGATGTACTACATATTTTGCAGAATTTTAGAACAATCAATACCCCTTAAAGATTCACATTATTGAAAAAAGGGAGGGCATGAATATCATAGGTTGATTTTAATCTTTAACAAAACTTAACTTTTCTGAAAAAGTCATATAGTTAGTTGAATTCTTTTAAAAGTTACATCTAAAAAAAGCCCACAGAGGAAATAAAGGCATCTTTTCATTATCCAAATGGATACGACCTTCAACACAGCAGATCAGCTCTAACATCTGGTTTGTGGAGGTGTGTGATTTTTAAAGATGGTAGACTTGTCGGTACAAATTCGTTTTGTGTAGGATAGTATTTGAATAATCTTTAACTGATGGAACTCCCATAAACAGATGACAGGAAGGCATTTCTGTGGAGCAAGGAACAGAGCCAGCCAGGGGTTCAAAAGGTGCCTGGGGTTGATTTACTGTACACATATAAAAAAGAATGTTGAATATATTCATAGTATACAATTTACCGTACTAGCATCATTGTATGCAATTTTTTCCTTCCAACTGCCTTAAGGTATAATGCATTTTATGGGGGCAACTGGAGGAGACAGAGGGGAGAAAGAAACGGGGAGGGGTGTGGGTTGGGTGGCTACTGAAGTATTTCTGTTTTCTTTCCAAATTCTCTGAAGTGGCCAGTCTTAGTATCAACCAAGCCTGGATCACTGGCCTTCCTCAGCCACTATGCAGACTGTAAAAGCTCTGATTTACAGTAAGCAACTGAAAACTGATTACACAAGAAAAACAGTTTTGGAATGATTGTGTTTTTGGTTCCTCTCTGCCTTTAACCCTCACCAGGTTTGAACTACTGGTACAGGCTCATTATGCTTTTAGTATCAGGGGATGTTGCCAAAGTATCCTGTGCAAATCTGCTAAGGACCTTTTTTCCAGAATTTATGGTGACATTATTTCTGTCCTTAGGGGCTAAGAATCAGGCTGAATTACCTCCAATTTAGGACTTATCTTAGTTTCGGAATTTAATAAATAGATTCAAGTCTCACAGAATTTATAACCTAGGAAATAATTGGCATATGATATGCTTTGCAGAATTATAAATATGTATGTATTTTAAAACCATAGAGTACAAAATAGGATCCCTGTTCATTTCATTATTATGGTGTGTGTTGTAGTTTATTCATTTACTTTTTTAATCATCACTGTCTCAGCTGTGCTTCTGTGGTTCTCTCTCCCTTTAGGCCATATCCACCTATTCATTTCTAAAAGCCAGAAGAGAGAGACACACAGAGGGGGGAAAAAAAAGAAACTAAATAAGTTAATAGAGTTTCATGTATGCTATCAAAAATGAGTGGCTTAAATAGAAACTTAAACTTTTCATTTTAGTGTTTTTTTCTCTCTAGATTCAAAATCAGGTTCACCTCTAATCACATTTTGCCACATTTTAAGTTAGTATTATAAATATTACATCTGAGACTATCTGGGTTTTTTTTTAAGTTTTTAAGGAAAAATTCCAATTATACATGAAATCTCTAAGTTTACAAAAAGTCAGTATCCAAAAACTAATTTCATAGATGATTTTGTTCAATGTGATCTATTCCATAAAATGTAGTTAAAACACTACATTTTAAATAAAAGCTCAGAAAAACATTTTTCTCTGAGTATTGACCTGTGGCTCACATTTAAAAGTCAGATGTTCATTTAAAGAAGTTGCTTATCAAATTAAATTTTATTTGGTCCATCAATATCTAATACTGTTAAATTGTTACTGGTTGAAGTGGACATTATTAAGACATAAAACTTGTTCCCTGGCAAAAATGATTCAGTTGTATCACTTTTAATTTCAGGACTCCTAGAAAAGTATGGATTAATTGCAACTGTACTCTCTGGGATTCCTCCAGAGAGTAAACAATGGTATATTTTTCTGAGAGCTTACAGTCTGTTCTTTTTGCCCTTTTTCTCCCCACTCTGGGAGAAAAATAGATTATTGGCTAAAAGACAAAACCAAACCAAACCAAAAACCAATTGTGTCAAATAGCTTTGTATCATGGTAATGTGCTTGGCCTGCTGTATGGTGTGAAACAGACCCTACTTTGAGGAACTTACTTGAGGGGGGGTGGGTGTTTAGACTCTCACTTATTACCTTCCCTGGTTCCATGAGTGTTGAATAAAAATAGGAGTCCTTCTGTATTAGGAAAAGTCTTATTTTGTTTAAAATCTGTATGGTGATGACTTTCCAAAGGATTAAAAGTATCATTTGTACCATAAGTTCATAAGACAGTTTAAAATTTTAAAAAGCCAGAGAGTCAAAAAAATTTTTTTTAATGTTAAAAAGGGGGAGAGAGAAAGTACTGTCACACCAGGAACTACAGATAAAATGTTGATAGCAATTGAAGGGTGGCATTCTTGCATTCATTCAATCTGGATTTCCTGGCCACACAACTCAGCTCTCAAAATGGGTTCTAGTAATGACTGTTAGAAGAAAAACACAATGGTTACAATT